TACAGCTGATGCGGCCGCGATGGCGGTTGCCGACGGGAACTGGCGAGCGCGTGTTGAATGCCGCGCACGCATTGCCAGACGAGTCGAGAATGGCCCGGTACACCGCAGGAAGCCAGAGGTGGCCGGAGGAAGCCCGACGGTCTGACAGGACACCCCAAAGCATTTTTGTGAAAAAGCATTGGGTTTTTGATGTTTTTATGTTGAAATGCTTGCAAACACACGGTGTTCGGTAGGATTCTGACATGAACGCGCGAGTGTGCTCTTTGTGGTATTTTTTGCACAGGATTCGCGGCCTGGGTGCATGACAGAGCATCGCGAGTGCACCGCGCGATGACGTGAAATCGCTGGATTTGACCGAATTCTTAAGATTCCTATGGTTTTCCTATGATTTCAGCAAGAGAGCCCGGGCGGGAAATTTGTACAATTTTTGTGAAAAAGCATTGGGTTTTTGATGTTTTTATGTTGAAATGCTTGCAAACACACGGTGTTCGGTAGGATTCTGACATGAACGCGCGCGTGTGCTCTTTGTGGTATTTTTTGCAATGGATTATCGCCGTGGACGACAGGACGTCCATGTCGAGAGGAAAAAATAAGAAAAATGTTGATTTTGTATTGTTTTTTACAGGTTAGGATGGGACCACCCGGATGCGGGCCCCTATCTGCCGGCCTGAGGGGGGAGTAGGAGTATATTCTAATAAGGAATAAGGATAGGAGTAGGAGTGGTAGTAGTAGTAGTCGTCGTCGTCCGTCGTCGTCGTGTCGTCGTCGTAGTCGTAGTAGTAGTAGTAGTAGTAGTAGTAGTAGTAGTAGTTAGTAGTAGTAGTAGGAGTTAGAGTAGTAGAGTAGTAGTAGTTAGTAGTAGTAGTAGTGTAGTAGTAGTAGTAGTAGTTAGTAAGTAGTAGTAGTGTAGTAGTTAGTAGTAGTAGTTAGTAGTAGTAGTAGTAGTAGTAGTTAGTATATAAGTAGTAGTAGTAGTAGTAGTTAGTAGTAGTAGTAGTGTAGTAGTAGTAGTAGTAGTAGTAGTAGTAGTAGTAGTAGTAGTAGTAGAGTAGTAGTAGTAGTAGTAGTAGTAGTAGTAGTAGTAGTAGTAGTAGTGGTGTGGGTTGGTAGTGGTGTAGTAGTAGTAGGAGGAGGAGGAGGAGGGGAGGGGGAGGAGGGGGAGGAGGAGGAGGAGGAGGTAAGGTCGGTTCCCTCCCGTGGAGGATTGTGTATTGGGCCCGCGGGCTCGGGTCCTTTGGCAGAGGGGTGCATGTGGAGGACGACGACGACGACGAGGAGAACGAGGAGGAGGAGGACGAGGAGGAGGATGAGGAGGAGGACGAGGAGGAGGAGGAGGACGAGGACGAGGAGGAGGAGGACGACGACGAGGAGGACGAGGACGAGGAGGAGGAGAAGGAGGAGGAGGAGGAGGAGGACAAACAGCAGAACGGGCGCAGCGACACGCTACCCAAAAAAATCCGACCGTAGTTCGGGGGACAAAAGGGTACCGACCCTGCTGTTCCCGGGGCCTCTTCCGGGGTGCTTTCTGACCAGAACTTCGATGATGATCCGGCCATGGCGACGAGAGCCCTCCAGGACGAGCAGCGGTACGGTGAAGGGCATTGGAGAAGGAGACCTTCGAGAAGGAATCCAGGGTCTGGAAGCCGGTGGACCACCAGCTGCGGCTTGACCACGGATGTCACCACGGCCCTCATCAGATAGTGAATGCTCCAGGGTCTGAAGCTCCCTGGGCACATTCCTTAACCAACGCCCCCACCCCCATCGCGCCGCTGCCGCCTCCTCCGCGGAGCCATGGGTTAACATGGGTCAGGCGGGTCCTGAGGGAAACGGGTCCTGGAACCCGGGGCCTTCCCCCAGGGCCAGTTCTTCATCCTGGGCCGTTCTCTGCTAGTCCTGGTGCCCGTGGACGGCCCGAGGTCCTGACGACGGCGACAAACCTCGGGACCCGTTTCCCTCGGGACCCGTTTTCCCGCATGGCGACTGAGACACGGTGGCGCCCCCCCCCCCCCCCCTCCCCCTCCCCCCGCGCCGTGGAGGCCGAAGAAGCGCGGGAGGAGCGCCAGGGGTGGAGCAGCAGGAGCTTGGAGGGGTGCTTCCGAGAAGCCTTCCCCCCCTCCCCCGACGAGCACGACGCTGAAATAAGGACCGCTCTGGGGTTCGAGAATGGCTCGCTGTTCCTTGGGTCCTTCCGTGGTTGTTCCTCTAGCCCTCCTCGTGCACCTGATCGCGCCCCCCCAAAAGGCTTCGCTCCTTACTTAGAGTCCGTTCAGGTAGTACCTCGACTGTACCCCCTCTGCGCGTGGGCGACGGAGGCTGCCCCCCCCGCGCCGTGGGGGCCGACGAAGCACGGGAAGAGCGCCAGGGGTGGAGCAGCAAGGGCTTTGTGAGGCCCGCGCCTTCCAAGAAGCAGGGGTGCTTCTAAGCAGGGGTGCTTCTGAGCAGCCTCTCCCCCTCCCGCATACCCCCCTTCAGCCAAACGTGAGAGAGACCCTGGGTAAGAGTGGCTTCTGGTGCGCGGCTTTTTGGGGGCCGCGGGGAGACCAAACATAAGCGCGCAAGACGCTACCACAGTGCGGGCGCGGCCGCAAAACACCCTCGCAAGAAACCCAGCCCTGAAACCCGCTGGCGCGAGATGCGAGAGGGGGGAACCCAGAGCACCCTGAACGCAGCAGCTCCTTCAACAGTCACGGGAAGCCACCGCGCAGCGTCCTCAGCCAAGAAACCCAGGGTACCCTGACGAGAAGAAATCAATTTCTTGATGCGCGCCCCCCCGTTGCATCGCATCGCGTTCGGCGATCGGGGGGCCCCAATAGGCCCGCACCAATGGTCACTCTGGCGAAGGGTCGCTCTTACGTGAAGCCGACCCCTCCTGCGCGTGGCCGACGGAGGCTGCCCTCCCCCCCTCCCCCTGCGCGCCGCGGAGGCCGCAAAGACACGGGAGGAGCGCCGACCTACCTACCCACCTACCTGCCTGCCCTCCTGCTGCTCCTGCTCCTGCTCCTGCTTCTTCCTCTTCTTCTTCTCCTCCTCCTCCACCTCCATGTCCACCTCATCCTTCTCCTCCTCCTCCTTCTCCTCCTCCTCCTCCTCCTCCTCCTCCTCTTCCTCCTCCTCCTCCATGTCCACCTCCTCCATGTCCACCTCCTCCTCCTCCTCCTCCTCCTCCTCGTCCTCCTCCTCCTCCGCCTCCTCCTCCTCCTCATCCTCCTCCTCCTCCTCCTCCTCCTCCTCCTCCTCCTCCTCCTCCTCCTCCTCCTCCTCCTCCTCCTCCTCCTCCTCCTCCTCCTCCTCCTCCTCCTCCCCTTCTACGAAAGGACACGACCGACCAGGGGTCCGGGCCTCGAGGGGCCTCCAGGAAGGGCCTCCAGAGGCCCTGGGAGGCTCGGCGGCCAGGCCGAGAGGGGGAGTTTCGGTAATCTCGGGCTCGAGAGTCGAGCTTTTCGGGCCTCGTCGTCGGTTTTCGGCAGCGTTTCGGCCTCGGGATGCGCTCCGGCAGCCGCGCTTCGCCGAGAGCGTTCCCATGGGTGCTTGGATCGTCCCGAACGGCCACCGGGGAGCCGAGGTCACCACCTAGGACCGAAGAGCCACCAGGCGTCCGATAGGGGGCAGCCCTTTTCGGAAGGCTCGGAAGTCCCCCAGCCTTCTGACAAATTTTCCAAGCCTTCCCCGAAGACACAGTTTTTTTGGATTCGCGGGTCGAGAGCGCACCTCTTCTGGTCGAAGCTAAGCGGGCCGCGCGAAGCTTAATTAACAAAGAGGGGGAGGAAGGGGGGAGAGCGCAGCCTCAGGGCGAGGCCGGGAGGAGGCAAAGCCTCGGGATCAGGCGGTTCCCCGAAGACACAGGTAGCTTGTCAGAAGGCCGGATGACTCCCGAGAAGCCCCGCCGCCTTCTGCGAAGACCTCCTCCTTCCCACTTCTCCCCCTCGCTCGCCGCCGAGGGGTCCCTGGCACAGGAGGTCGCTGGACGCTTCCAGAGCCCGAAGAAGGGTCAACGGCGTTCAATGCGCTGGACCCTCGTCCTCGTCCTCGTGGTCCTCGTCGTCGTCCTCGTCCTCGTCCCCGTGATCCTCGTCGTCGACAGGAGTGCTCCTGGGCATGGCGGGGATGCGGCCCCTGCCGACAAGGGGCGCCTCCGTGGCCGATGCTCGAGGCCCCCCGAGGGAGGAGTGCAAGAAAGAGGGAAGTGGGAGGACGAGGGGGATGAGGGCGACGACAGGGATAAGCTCCCGATAGGGACGGGATGGGGAGGTACGCTGAGGAGGGGGAGGAGGGTAATGAGGAGGATGACAACAGGCAGGATCATGAGGAGGAGGCGGAGGAGAATGATGACGCTGCTGCTGAGGAGGAGGAGGAGAAAGAGGAGGCGGACGAGGAGGAAAAGTAGGGAGGAGGATGAGGCGGAGGAGGGGGAGGATGAAGAGACGGTGGAGGAGGAGGAGGAGGAGGAGGAGGAGGAGGAGGAGGAGGAGGAGGAGGAGGAGGAGGAGGAGGAGGAGGAGGAGGAGGAGGAGAATAATAATCCTTCTCTCGCGGATCCCACTTCAAAAGTGCCCCTTAGATACATCTGACAGATTGAGGCACCTACTCGAGGTGGGCTTCTGCGGCGCAATTCTCGAGCCGTCTCCCCCGAGGCGGCCGACATTCACGTTGAGGACGATGGTCAAGATCCGACATGGTCGCTCATGGGCAGAACCGTTTGAGCAGAACTGTCGAATGAGGCCAGAATGTGGCAACTCTATATGTAGATATACACATATTCAGATATACAGAAGATGGCGTGGCAAGGCTGATAGGAAACATGACGGCCTCATCATACTTGTGGTTAAGCGTATCTGTGCTTGCATGCATGCGTGTGTATGTGCACGTGTTCGTGCGACTCAGGACTGCAACTGTTTAGGGAACGCTCTGCTGCTGCCTGGGGCCACGACCCGCATACGGAGCCGCCGCAACATGGGCTGGCTGCCGACTTCCCCGCAGCCCCGGGCAAGCCCGTGCCCCGCCTTCGTCGGTCCCGATCCTGTTCTCCTTCCGGAGTATTGCCAGGCTCCTCTTCAGCCTCCATTGGGCGGAGCGGCTGTGCACACCTGCCTCCTCCGCCTCGAATTCCCCACCTCCTCCTCCTCCTCCACCCTTCTCCTCCTCCTCCTCCTCCTCCTCCACCCTCTTCCTCCTCCTCCTCCTCCTCCTCCTCCTCCTCCTTACCGTTCTTCTCCTCATACCCCTCATGCCCCGACATTCGCCCACACGTTTTTTCCATCCGCGGCCCCAGAGGCCCCGATCCCCTCCCTGGGGGTAGTTTTTCGTCCCGGCTTTTTTTGTTGACGGTCCCCGGGCTCGATGACGGGCCCCACAGGCCGAAGTCGAGGAAAAACACACCGATTGCAAAACATTCAATCGTCGGACATCTGGGTATCCTTCCTCCTCCCAATTTCGCCCGAAGCTTCCCCCCAAGCTCCCTAGGGGCCAAGGCGGAAAATGCGCTCCTTCCCGTGGCCGTCCTTTCCCTCCTCCGTCGTCCACGCTCTGGCGCTGGTCACCGTCCTCATCACCCTTGTCGTGCTCGTCGTCGCCCGCCGCCGTCGTCGCCGTCGCCAAGACAGCCACAGCCGTCGCCGCCGCCGTCGTCGTTGTCCAAGATGTTCCCATGACAGCCCCAAGATAATCCAAGATATTTCCACGCATTGTCCAACAACCTTTCTACACATGTAGGTATACACACATCTATAAATACATGATTATCAAGTAGCAGCAACTTTCCAAGGGCTATTTGAAGGACTTTGAAAGATATTCCCAGAAGTTTCAACATGATGTATTTGCAACAGCTTTCCAGCATGTCCTCCAAGGCTTCCAAAAATCTGTAAATAGTTTCCCAGAAGGTGCCAAAGAGATTCCAAATCATTCTCCATTGAACTTTCTAGCAGCTTGCCTGTGACTCCAGATCGGGATGCCCAACCATCTGATACGCGACTCTAGTTGCAATGCTGCAGCCCCTGCTCGCCTGAGGTTTGTAACTTACTCAAGCATCTGAGAATCAACTGAGTAATCGCATTCCAACAGTCTTTCGGTTATAGAAGGCAGCGCGCGCAAATCGTCGCGCTTCAGTTCCTGTGGAAACGTGCAATTTGCGATTCGAAATTGCCCCGTATGTCTCAAAGGTGTGCATCTTGCCTGTAGCTCGAGTTTGAGGCGCCCACCAAGCAAGATACATCTTGTCAGTGTCATACTGTAGCATTTTTCGAAAGCTGTGATCCAGCACATGCCGATGTCATCGGTCTAAGCTTCTCGTAACAATGCGCATTTCATCTTTGCGCTCGCCTGCGTGCCTCAGAGGTATGCAACTTGCCTGTAGCTCAACATCAAGGCACACAACAACTAGAGATGCGAGCGAGTCGGCAGTATCCTCCTTCTCCTCCTCTTCCTCCACTGCCCTCTCCCTGTACCCTTCCTCGCCCACCCATCCCTTCCCGCCCAGACCCTTCCCAGCCCTCATCTAGGGAACCCACAAAGGACGTACGCGCGCAACCACGTGCACGAACACGGCCCCCCAATCCGCGAGACCGGCCGGGTGATACGAACGTTCGCGCGATGCGCACTCTCGCATCCAGCGTGGATTCCTGTTTTCTGTAAGTCCTTCGTTTGCTCCTGATCATCTCTCCTTCTCTCCTTTTCATTGGCTCTCTCACCACTCCCTCGAACCGGGCTCGGCGGGGCTGGCGGAAGAGAGACAAGAGCATCATACCTGCTGGAGCCTGGACCACCCTTCGCCCCCCCCCTCCTCGGGGCGATCCAGTGGCCACGGCCTCGAGAAGTGGTGGCCTCGCCTTCTCCTGCTCCCTCCCCCTCTCCTCCCCTCTCCCGAGGAGGAGGAGGAGGAGGAGGAGGAGGAGGAGGAGGAGGAGGAGGAGGAGGAGGAGGAGGAGGAGGAGGAGGAGGAGGAGGAGAGGAGAAGGAGGAGGAGGAGGAGGAGGAGGAGGAGGAGGAGGAGGAGGAGGAGGAGGAGGGAAAGGAGGAGGAGGGAAAGGAGGAGCGGAGGCGGAGGCGGAGGCGGAGCCGGAGGAGGAGAGGAGGAGGAGGAGGAGGAGGAGGAGGAGGAGGAGGAGGAGGAGGGGGAGGAGGAGGAGGAGGAGGAGGAGGAGGAGGCGGAGGCGGAGGCGGAGGCGGAGGCGGAGGCGGAGGAGGAGGAGGAGGAGGAAAAGGTGGAGAAGGAGTCGGAGGCAGAGGAGGAGGGGGAGGAGGAGGAGGGGGAGGAGGAGGAGAAGGAGGAAGAGGAGGAGGAGGAGGAGGAGGAGGAGGAGGAGGAGGAGAGGAGGAGGAGGAGGAGGAGGAGGAGAGAGAGGAGGTCCTCCTCCCCCGCTCTCTCCTCGACCGTCTCCGCCACGGGGGGCGCTGCTGCCCTGCCCCCACCACACCTCCAGACCTCCGGCGCCGAGGCCTCTGTGAGGCGGCCCCCCCACCCCCGAGACCGCGTTGGCGCATCACTGAGGGGCAGCGCCAGGGGGGGGATGCACCGACCTGGAATCGGCGATGCATCGCCGGTAGATCGGCGACAGGCCCCCGGCAGTGAGTCCGCACCTTCCTGGGCAGGTTGGGGCCATCGGGCCCCCATCGGCGATCAATGGACCATTGGGGGTCGATACATCCCCCCCTATGCCTATCCCCCCCCCTATCGTTGCCATTGAGTCATGGCCTGGGGCATGTATACCCGGATAGAGGGGGACAAAGGAACGTCTTGGAAGAAGGGCCGTGGTACTGTCAGCAGGAGCAGTGCGAACCATAGGGGGCTGGACTCTATATACACCGACGCGTTTTCCGGCCCTGCACCGAAACTCGCATAGGAAAACGGATCCTGGTGTGATCGGGATCCTGGCGTGTACATTTTCCGATGTTTCCCTGGGAAGGCGGGGAACAAACTTTACACCACACGAACCCGACGTCGTCCCCGACCCTCAACATGTCCTGGGATGGAAACTCAGCCCGTCACTGGTCATGTATATGTTCCAGTTTCCGAGATACTGTTAGCAGGAATAATGAGAATAAGGATACAACATCCGCCGCCGCGCCGTTTGCTCTGAGCGCGCCCACGTGGACGAAATCGGCTCCGCGGCAAGCCCCACAACGAACCTTGCGTTCGAGGCGAAGCTTGCCCTGGTGACCGAGGCACCCTCGAACAAAACGTAAGGCCGCGCGCCGGAACAAACAGCGCGGCGACATATCAATGCGACTGCTAGTGTCAAGACCAACGATAAGAAGGGTGAGCTACAATATCGGGAGGATTTGATGTCCCTGTCCATGGTATCCTGCCCCTAGTCATCAGCCCCTCCCGATGCCTGGTGGCTTGCGGACCATGCGGTAAGGGCATTGGAAAAGGAACCATTGGATAGAGAATCCAGGGTCTGGAAGCTGGTGGAACTCCGATCATGGATTGGCCATGGATCCCACCGACACCCTCATTCGATAAGGAATCCTCCAGGGTCTGAAGCCTTCTGGGCACACCATTCCTTAACGACCGCCACCATCGTAATCAACTCTGGCCTCCGGCGGCCGTTCGAGAAGATTCGGGCACCTCCGTGAAGCCCTCGACGAGGCGCAGCTGTTGGAAAGCATCCCGAGGCGAGAAAACCTCCACGAACCAACGAAAACCAACCAACGTCCTCATCCCCCTCTTCAAGGCCGTGCACGGCGACTGCACCACCGAAAACCGACCGAACCGACAGCCGCACCGAAACCAGCCGAGACCGACAGGGCCGAAGGCAGCCTGAGGGGCAGCGGCGGCGACAACCGACCGAACCGAGCCGAGCGAACGTACGGACTGCGACGCAGCCGGACTGACCGAACCGCGCTCACTCCTGCCCCTTGGCGCCCCCGAGCCCGCGGCCCGGGGAGCAGGGGCCAGCCGCAGACAGCCCCAGCCGGGCCGCAGCACGAGGGCGCCCTCGGGGTCAGCTCCAGGGGCCCAGGAGGGGGCCAAGGAACGCCGCCAAAGCTCGAGATCCTCGATCCCTCCTGGGACCGCCGACGCCTTGTTTGTCCGTGCGGGGTCCCCGGAAGCCCCCGACCCTTTTTCCCCAGGGCTGGTCCTCCATCCCGAGCCGTTCCTTGACTGCCCCGGGGGCACGGCGAGAGCCCCCGGAGGCCGAAGACGGCCAGCACCCTTCCGCCGCGCTTTTTTTTTTTTTTTTTTTTCAACGCGCCCTCCACCGGCACCTTCCGCACCTCCCGCGCGGAGGGCTCCGCCGCTGCGGCCGCGGCGGCCGCCGCTGCGGCCTCGACGGTGGCCGCCGCTGCGGCCGCGGCGGCGGCCGCGGCAGCGCGCCGCCTGCCGCGCGGAAGGTGCGGAAGGTGCCGGTCGGGAGCGAGCACGTCCGGGAGCGGAGCCGCTGCACGCGGGGCGTCACGCGGGCTGCCGCGGCCCAGCGCCAGGCCAGCAAGGCACGGCGGCCCTGCCGGCCGAGATCGCGGCGTCGGGCTCCTCCGCCAGCGCCGCCGCCGACGCGGCGCGCAGCCTGCGGTAGTACTCGGCCCGGGAGATCTCCTGGGCCCCGTGCTTCGAGTCCGCCACCGCGCCGCAAGCAGGTGCAGGATCTGAAATTTCCGTGAGGTCCAGGCGCCTAGCTGCCCCGATACGCAACACGCAACACGCAGCGCATTGATACGGAGCTCAACACGCAGTCTGAAAACGTAGGCACGACGCGATACGTTCGCCAGAACGTGGGCCAATACGCTGAGCCAACACGCAACGTGTTGAGACGGGCGTCTCGAGCGCGATACGTGTTGCGCTTCGAGGCATCCGAGTCCAGGCGCTTCTGCCCGCCCTTTTGCCCATCGGCAGCGTCGGCGGTCGCAGGCGCGTGTCGTTTCTGGCGGGCCGCGCTGGGCGCGAGGCGCAGGGGCAGGTGGAAGAGAAGAGGGCGGCCGCGGAGGAGCAAAAGGGAAGGAGCTCTGCCGCCGAGCGGGAGAGGGTGGCGCATGCGGCCCCTCGTCTCCGCCCAGACACGCCACGTCCAGAGCCATATCAGGTCGGAGGTTTTGCTAAGTTCTTTTGCCTCTTGGGGGCCCTCACCGAGCCCAGGGGCCCTCCAAAACGACTCGGTATGAAAACCCGGCCCCGGGGAAGGGGCCAGGACTCCTGGAGAGCCCGTGCTCGAACAAATCAGGATGCCGCATGTCTGGGAGCCCAATCTCCCGCAACCTGGGTTCCGGGCGTGGCAGTTTTTCCAGCTACGCCATGCGTTTCTGCGTGGGTTTGGGGCCCCAGGGCCAGCACGGGTCGATCTGGCTCGAAACATGCAGCAGAAAGATCGGGTCTGGGGCTCGCGTTGCGATTTTCTGCCCGGTGCTGCAGTTTCACCGCAGCGTTGGGTCGCACGGCTTTGGGGCGAGTTCTTTCTGCCCCTGTCGGGCCTCTGGGGCGGTTGGGCCCCGAACGGAGTTCTGGTCAAGACGGGTCCCACGAGGGTTAAATCGGGCGTGCCCCCCTACAGGGGGATCTTCGACGAGAAATGACAAATATCAAAAAAATATTCCCAAGTGGTCAAAAAAAATTCAAAAAATACTCCCCAGACTATTTTTTGACTATTTCTGAAAATTCCACCTGTAGAGAGACAGGCCCGACTTAACTTAACACGAGGGGTCTGGGGGTCGATCCTACAGGGTCGCCATGAAGAGAAGGGGTCCAGAGGGAAACGCTGACTGGGGAGTCATCAGGTCCCTCAGGGTCCGCCCCCAAGAGGCCCCTAGAGGGTTCCCCGAGGCTTCCACGAGGCAGCTCAAGAGGCTTCTGGTCCACGCGTCAAGCACGGTGGCGGGATGGGCCGAAAGCTACCAAATCCGCCGCCCCCTGCTTGCAGGGGTGCACGGCGTGCTGGATGATTCAGGTTTTGGTTTTGGTTCTTTTTCTAAAAGAACTCCCCAGTGGGCTTCGGCCCGTCCCGCCGGCCACCCGCAAATTTCCCAAAATGCGTCTGTCAATGCCCAAAAACGGCCGTTTCGCTCGGGACATCCTCAAAAAATCGCGAAGATGGCCCAAGATGGCCTCCAAGTCCGCCCGAGATGGTCCAAGACGGCCTCCAAAACGGCCCAAGAGAGTCCAAGACGGCCCAAGACGGCCCAAGAGGCCCCCCAGAGGCCTCCCAGACGGCCCAAGAGGCCTCCAAGAGGTCCTCCAGGAGAGTCCGAAGAGGCCAAAATCATTGATTTTCCATTGGTTTTTGAAGGATTTTGGCATTTGCGCCTTTTCGGCTCTCCGACGGCTCAAGACGGCCCAAGAAGCCCCCAAGATCGCCCAAGAGGCCCCCAAGAGAGCCCCATGATGGCCCAAGTGGCCTCCAAGATGGCCCCTAGAGGGCCCCAAGAGGGCCCAAGAGGCCTCCAACACGCCCAAGATGGCCTCCAAGACGCCCAAGATGGCCTCCAAGACGGCCCTGGAGCATTCCAAGCGGGCCCCAAGTCGGCCCATAGAGGCCCCCCAAACGGCTTCCGACGGCTTCAGACGTGCCAGGAACCCACCAAGATGGCCGAAGTTGGCTCGAAGCTGGCCCGAGACGGCCCAAAAAGCCCCAAAGATCGCCCAAAGCTTGCCCAAGAGGCCTCCAAGACGGCCAAGATGACCTTCAAGATGCCCACGTGTTCCCCGAAGGCTTTCCAAACCGATTCGGGGAACACGTGGTCCGATAGCTTGGCAGGTCTGGCCTCAACGTTCGGCCACATAGGCGCTTCCAAAAAGGCAGGGGGCGGCGGTGATTCGCCGTAGGCGTCTTCGATCCGCCGCCCCCTGTGGTCTTGCCACAGGGGTGCACGGCGTGCTGGATGATTCAGTTTTGGTTTTGGTTCTTTTTCTAAAAGAACTCCCCAGTGGGCTTCGGCCCGTCCCGCCGGCCACCCGTAAATTTCCCAAAATGCGTCTGTCAATGCCTTTGTTGCCCCAACTTGGCCCAAGATGGCCTCCAAGACGGCCAAGATGGCCCAAGATGGCCTCCAAGATGCCTCCAAGACGGCCACGATGGCCTCCAAGACGGGTAAGATGGCTCCAAGATGCCTCCAAGACGGCCCAAGATGCCCTCCAAGACGGCCAAGATGGCCCCAAGATGCCTCCAAGATGGCCCAAGAGGCCTCCAAGACGTTCTCCAGGAGAGCCCGAAGAGGCCAAAATCATTGGTTTTCCTTAGGTTTTTGAAGGTTTTTTTGCGTTTTCTTCTTTTCGGCCTTCCGACGGCCCAAGAGGCCCCCAAGATCGCCCAAGAGGCCTCCAAGAAGGCCCTATGACGGCCCAAGGGCCCCCCAAGACGGCCCCAAGAGCGCCCCAAGACGGCCCAAGAGGCCTCCAAGACGCCCAACATGGCCTCCAAGACGGCCCTGAAGCGCCCCAAGAGGGCCCCAAGACGGCCCAGAGAGGCCCCCAAGACGGCTCCAGACGGCGTCAGACGGACCAGGAACGCCCTAAGACGGCCAAAGAGACCCCCAGGAAGCCCCCAAAGGCCCCCAAGAGGCCCAATGAGGCCCCCAAGATGCCTCCAAGAGGCCTCGAAGAGGCCCCCAAGAAGCCCCCAACAGACCCCAAGGGTGCCCCAAGAGACTCCTAACAACCCTCATCCTCCTACTCTATTTCTTCCTCTTCCTCTTCCTGTTCATAATCATTCTCTCCCATGTGTTCCCCGAAAGCTTTCCAAACCGACTCGGGGAACTCATGGTCCGATAGCTTGGCCAAGCTCTAGTCCAACTTTCGGCCACATCGGCGTTTCCAAAAAGGCAGGGGGCGGCGGTGATTCGCCGTAGGCGTCTTCGATCCGCCGCCCCCTGCTTGCAGGGGTGCACGGCGTGCTGGATGATTCAGGTTTTGGTTTTGGTTCTTTTTCTAAAAGAACTCCCCAGTGGGCTTCGGCCCGTCCCGCCGGCCACCCGCAAATTTCCCAAAATCCATCTGTCAATGCCCAAAAACGGCCGTTTCGCTCGGGACATCCTCAAAAAATCGCGAAGATGGCCCAAGATGGCCTCCAAGTCCGCCCGAGATGGTCCAAGACGGCCTCCAAAACGGCCCAAGAGAGTCCAAGACGGCCCAAGACGGCCCAAGAGGCCCCCCAGAGGCCTCCCAGACGGCCCAAGAGGCCTCCAAGAGGTCCTCCAGGAGAGTCCGAAGAGGCCAAAATCATTGATTTTCCATTGGTTTTTGAAGGATTTTGGCATTTGCGCCTTTTCGGCTCTCCGACGGCTCAAGACGGCCCAAGAAGCCCCCAAGATCGCCCAAGAGGCCCCCAAGAGAGCCCCATGATGGCCCAAGTGGCCTCCAAGATGGCCCCTAGAGGGCCCCAAGAGGGCCCAAGAGGCCTCCAACACGCCCAAGATGGCCTCCCAGACGCCCAAGATGGCCTCCAAGACGGCCCTGGAGCATTCCAAGCGGGCCCCAAGTCGGCCCATAGAGGCCCCCCAAACGGCTTCCGACGGCTTCAGACGTGCCAGGAACCCACCAAGATGGCCGAAGTTGGCTCGAAGCTGGCCCGAGACGGCCCAAAAAGCCCCAAAGATCGCCCAAAGCTTGCCCAAGAGGCCTCCAAGACGGCCAAGATGACCTTCAAGATGCCCACGTGTTCCCCGAAGGCTTTCCAAACCGATTCGGGGAACACGTGGTCCGATAGCTTGGCAGGTCTGGCCTCAACGTTCGGCCACATAGGCGCTTCCAAAAAGGCAGGGGGCGGCGGTGATTCGCCGTAGGCGTCTTCGATCAGCCGCCCCCTGTTGATTTATCACAAGGGTGCCTGGCGTGCTGAGAATCTGATGGTTTTTGGTTCTTTTCAAGACTCCCCCTGGTGCTTCGGCTGATTGCGCCAGCCACCCGGAATGCTTGCCCAGAGGTGGTTGGCACGGATTTTTCCGTTCCAGATGGGCCTAAGGTGGCCACCAAGACGGCCAAGATGGCCTCGAAGTTCGCCCAAGATGGTCCCAAATGGCCTCCTAGAATGCCCCGAAGTCCGCCCGCCTCGAAGACTGCCAAAGAAGCCTTCAAGAAGGCTCAAGAGGCCTCGATGAGGTCCTTCAGGAGGGCCCGAAGAGGCCAACATCATGGATTTTCCTTCCTTAGGTTTTTGCAGGATTTTGCCCTTTGCTTCTTTTCGGCCCTTCGACGGCCCAAGAGGCCCCCAAGATCGCCCCACGATGGCCCCAAGGGCCTCCAAGATGACCCCATGACGACCCCAAAAGCCTCCAAGACGGCCCCAAGAGGGTCCCAAGAGGGCCTCAAGACGGCTCGAGAGGCTTCCAAGACGCCCATGATAGCCTCCAAGACGGCCCCGAAGCGCCCCAAGAGGGCCCAAGTCGGCTTGGAGAGGCCCCCAAGAAGGCTTCTGACGGCGTCAGGCCAGAGACGCCCTAAGACTTCCAAAGAGGCCCCCAAGAAGCCCCAACAGGACCCCCAAAGAGGCTCACGGAGGCTTCCAAGAGACCACTGAGAGGCCCACACGAAGCTCCCAGATGGCCCCAAGAGTCCTCCTCCTCCTCCTCCTGCTCCTCCGCCTCCTCTTCTTCCTCTTCCTCCTCCTGCTCCTCCTGCTCCTCCTCCACAATTACTCAATATGAGTACTACTCTCCCTCTTCCCCTGATGACGGTTTGAAAGTGGCCGCCCCCCCCCCGCGTACTGTTTTTTACACACAGGTTTCCCCGGAGTTGGGTTTTCGCCTGCATTTTTTTTCAAAATGCTGCTCTCGCTGAGGCGCCGGCCTCATTTTCGGGCCCCGCTCGTTCCGAATCGTGCTCCCGCTGCAGCGCTGGCCTCATTTCCGTGCTTCCGCTCGTTCCGAATCGTGCTCCCGCTGCAGCGCTGGCCTCATTTCCGCGCTTCCGCTCGTTTCGACTCGTGCTCCCGCTGCAGCGCTGGCGTCATTTCCCGTGCCATGCCACGGCATGCAATGCAACGCTAGGTTGATACTACGCTTTGCGGTGCTCTTCTACGCCATGCCATGCCGTGCTCTACAATGCATCGCGTACCCTTTCGGGATCATTGCACTGCTCGACATCCGACTGAGCGAGTAGAGAGGGGATCTGCGCCATGGTAAGGGATGGGAGGGAGTGGTAGGATGCCAGATATGACGCGAGAGCACCTAGCTTGTCCTTCGCCCCCTCCTCCTCCTCCTCCTCCTCCTCCTCCTCCTGCTCCTCCTCCTCCTCCTCTTCCTCCACCTCCTCCTCCTCTCACTTTCTCTTCCCTCTCCTCCGCTTCTTCTTTCTGCCCCGCGTGTTTCTCGAACAATTTCCGCAGCACACATGGTCCGATACCTTGGCAGAGCTCTTGCCACAACGTTCGGCCAGATGGGCGAATCCTAAATGGCAGGGTGCGGCGGTGATTCGACGTAATTAGGCGTCTTCGATCGGCCGCCCCCTGCGGTTTGCCACATAGGTGCACGGCGTGCTGGACGTTCGTTTGTTTGCCATTTTTGAAAATTTGTCAGTGGGTTCTCGGCCCACGGAAGGCACCAGAAACCCAGGAGGCAAGGTCGAAATGACCTCCAAGACGGCCGAGATGGCCTGGCCGAGCTCTGGCCGCAAGGTTCGACCACACAAGCGCTTCGAAAAGGGCAGGGGGCGGCGGTGACTCGCCGCAAGCGCCCTCGCTACTCTGCCGTGGCAGGGCTTGGGGTTGTGCGCGCAGGCAGCCCCCGAAGGCGGCAGGAAACCGGAGCCACCCGCGGTTGGGCGCGTGCGCGCAAGCACGGGTCAACGCGCTGGTGTCTGGCTCTCGCCCCGGCCAACCACGCCGTGCGAACCCGGGCAGGCAGCGTAATGACAAACATCAGGACGGACATTTTTATGAAGTCTATGCCCCTGGGCCAGAAAGACAAGTGTCGGGTTGGGAGGATGGGGTTGGGAGCATACGGGGCACGACTGTGTGATAAGCCCTCTCGACGTACGCGATAGTACGGATGATCTGACCATGTCTCCCAACCCCATCCTCCCAACCCGATGGCTGTCTTGCGGGCCAGAGGCCCTTCCCGGGCCCCAGGACCGTCAACAGAGAGGCTCGGGATGAAAAACTAGCCCTGGGGAAGGGGTCGGGACCTTCCAGAGAGCCGGTGCTAAAAAAGATCTGGACATCGCGACTTCCTCGTACCCCGAGATCCTGGGCGTCGCAGCTCCTCCACACCAAACATCTTCGCCCGGCCTCAGGCCCTGGGGCTGGCGCAGGTCGATCTGGCTCGAGGAGTGGTGCAAAAAGAGATGGGGCCTACAGCCAGCCCGTGCCATAAGGATGCGCGATGAGGCTGCAAGGGCCCTGGACGCCCATTTCGTTCGAAGCTCTTCGAGCGGCGCGCGGCCAGCGAAAGCGGCCCAGGATGGACCCAGGAGGCGAGGAGGCAAGGGGTACCTTTGGGAAGGTTGCCCATCCTTCCTTTGCGGGTCGACGGTGGGGCCCTGGTGTGATTTTCGGGAGCGGCCAAGAGGGGGGGGTCCAAGAGGGGGGGGGTGGAAATCATGACCGGCGGCATGTGCGCGGCCCAGCGTGGGGGGCCCGGGACGCAATGGAATAAGGCGAGGCGCCGTGAAATCGGAGGAAAAATCATGGCCCGCGCCATGACATCCCCCCCCCCCCCTCGTCATCCCCCCCCCCTCTTTTCCGCTCCCGAATGATTTCTCACGACGCTCCAACTTTTTTCCGCGACGCCGGATCTCGCGACGCTCCAACTTTTTTCCGCGACGCCATGAAATCCCCCCCCCTGGTCATCCCCCCCCTCTTTTTCCGCTCCTGGATGATTTCTCACGACGCTCCAACTTTCTTCCGCGACGCCGGATCTCGGGGCCCCCCCAAAGGCGGCCTGCAGGGCGCCCTCGGCCTTCCCGCGCTGCCTCCGGGGGGGGGGCGGCGAGGGAGCGCCCCCGCGGCCGCCCCCCCGGGAGGCGGCCTCTGGGGGCCCGTGGAGGCCCGCCGCTGCCTCGGGGCTCTGCCCGCCCCTCGCCATCGCTCGGGCGTCCATTCCCTGTGCTTTTTCCCAACCATCCTGTGGTGTTGGGTCCTCGTTTTGAAGAGACGTCGCCCCGCGTTCCTCCTTCCTCCTCCTTCCTCCTCCTCCCCTTCCTCCCCCCTCCTCCCCCTCCCACACCCATTCTGGCACACCCCTCACACGTTTCGTGGCCCCATAGGGAGCTCCACCGAAGGCCCCAGTGGCTGCGCCCGCATGCGGTTCCACCCCCCATTCTGGCACACCCCTCACACGTTTCGTGGCCCCATAGGGAGCTCCACCGAAGGCCCCAGTGGCTGCGCCCGCATGCGGTTCCACCCCCCATTCTGGCACACCCCTCACACGTTTCGTGGCCCCATAGGGAGCTCCACCGAACGCTCCAGTGGCTGCGCTCGCATGCGGTTCCACCCCCCATTTCGGCACACCCCTCACACGCTTCGTGGGTGGCTCCATGGGGAGCTCCACCGAACGCCCCAGTGGCTGCGCTCGCATGTGGTTCCCCCCCCATTTCGGCACACCCCTCACACGGTTCGTGGCCCCATAGAGAGCTCCACCGAAGGCCCCAGTGGCTGCGCTCGCATGCGGTTCCACCCCCTTTTTCGGCACGCCCTTCACACGTCTCGTGGCCCCATAGGGAGCTCCACCGAACGCCGCAGTGGCTGCGCTCGCATGCGGTTCCACCCCCCATTTCGGCACACCCCTCACACGTTTCGTGGCTCCATAAGGAGCTCCACCGGAGGCCCCAGTGGCTGCGCTGGCATGTGGTTTCACACCCCATTCTGGCACACCCCTCGCACGTTTCGTGGCCCCATAGGGGGCTCCACCAAAGGTCCCAGTGGCACTGCCCGCTTGCGTCCGCCACCACCCAGCACAGCCCTTGTTCCCTGCGCTTCACCCACCCAGAACAGCGCTTCGTAGCCCTATAGGGAGCTCCACCAAAGGTCCCAGCGGCACCGCCCGCATGCGTCCGCCACCACCCTGCGCAGCCCTTGCTCCCTGCCTGCGTTTCACCCACCCAGTACAGCGTTTCGTGGCCCCATAGGGAGCTCCACCGAAGGTCCCAGTGGCACCGCTCGCATGCGTCCGCCACCACGCAGCACAGCCCTTGCTGACCGCGTCTCACCCACCCAGTACAGCGTTTCGTGGCCCCATATGGAGCTCCACCGAAGGTCCCAGTGGCACCGCCCGCATGCGTCCGCCACCACCCAGCAGAATTGCGGCATTCACAACTGCATATGGTTGGGTCCTTCGCCAGGCTAATTTCTCGGTTTCGTGCGCGGTTTTTTCGCCGAGTGATCAAGGATGCTCCTCGAAGGTCCTCGCCGAGGAAAAAATGCACACGTCCGAGCGATGCCCAGCGCCCTGGCGCGGCCCCGAGCTCTGCCACTCTGCCATGTACCCGATCTTGCAGCCCCAGTACCACAGGGCGACGCCGCAGTCCTCCAGGAGCGCCCCGACGGCCTTGGCCAGGATGGACCCCGCCGAGCGGCGGTCCCTGACGAGGCAGCAGGTGCTGAAGTCGTGGAAGAAGGTCCCGATCGACAGCCCGAAGCTGGCCGCCGCAAGCTCGCGGGTGCGTTTGTCCCAGAGCTCGAAGCAGAACATGCGTATCCCGTTGCCTGGGTCCTCGTGTATCCGCGCCAGCACCTCGATGAGCTCGTCGCTGATCCACGTCCCGCCGCGCTCCTCGTGGTAGCGCCCGCACAGGGCCAGGTGCCCCTGGAAGTCGCGGTTGCACGACAGCTCGAACTCCTTGCCGTAGCGCCGCAGCATTTTGCAGCTGCGCCATGTGCTGCGGGTGCCCCGAGCGGCGCCCTCATCGAGCAGGAAAACGTACGGCTTTACCTCGAGGAATGAGCAACTGCATAAGCATTCACTTTCGACTGTCCGCGCCGATTCATCGAATCTGCGCTGGACCCGCCCCCTCCTCGGCGCGCAGAGCACGCGGGGGGGCGGCGCTAGAGGCGCCGCCAGGGGGGTCCAGCGCCGATCCAAGAAGCTCGCGCTCAGCTACCCTCGACCTGCACCTTCCGCACCTTTCGCGCGCTGCGGCCGCGGCGGCCGCCGCTGCGGCCTCGACGGTGGCCGCCACTGCGGCCGCGGCGGCGGCCGCGGCGGCGCGGCACCTGCCGCGCGGAAGGTGCAGGTCGAACGTAAGACGAAATATGCTGAAGCCGTTTTTTATCTTCGATTGCCGGGAAAGGGCATGCGAAGATCTGGCTGTCGCCGGGGAGGACAAAGAGGCCGTGCTCCAGCAGCCGCACCACGAAGCTCTGGTCGAGGCTGGCCGCATACGCGTAGTCGCCCTCGAGGCCAAGCAGCCAGGGCCCGAGGGTGTCGCGCGGCAGCAGTAGCGAGCGCAGCACTCCGTCCTGGAGGAAGAAGAGGGCGACGTAAACCCAGAACTCCGACGATTTTTTGCTGTCTTGTCAATCGCGTTTCTTTTTTGATCAGGGCAGGGCCCGCTGTCGGGCCCAGGACCACCAGAAAAATGGATGCGGGGCGCAGGGCTGCCCTCGGGGAGGGGGCCGGGAGCTCGGGGGCCGCGGCTGGAGACAAGAGCGCCTCGGAGGCAGCCCGGGAACCGGAAACCTCGGAGGTCCGCGCTGGCTTCACGGGTCGGCGCCGGGCCCCCCCCACCCCCTCCCCGGCGCGCGGAGCGAGCGCACCCAGGGGCGGCGCTGGCCAGGGGGGCCCAGCGCCGACCCAAGGCATCCGCGCGGAGCTCCGAGCAGTCAGCTCTGCTCCGTCAGTCTTTTGCTCTCCCTCGGCGTCCGGAACCCCGGGGTTGGGGAGCGTGCGCGTGTTGAACGCCAGCACCTCGGGGGGAGGCCTCTCCGGCGGTGCGTCCTGGCCAAACATTTCGAAGAACGTGCAGGCGTGGAGGCGGGAGCTCTCCAGGACGAGCAGCGGTGTCGGCCAGAGTGAGGGGCCCGAGCGGCCAGTCAATTGCCCCTGGGTGCGCGGCAGGAGTGGCGTTCCGTCTGGCGGATCCTGCTCGTCCTGCTGAAGGTTAACTGCTACGCAAGCAGTAACGTTGGACCCTATACAAGCGCCCGGGCGCTCTCGCCTCGGAGCTGGCTGCATCTCCTTTGAAACTGAGGCTCATGCTCGAACGTTTCGGGGCGGCGCCCAAGCCAGCCCCCCAACAACAAGAAAGCTCCTGTGCGATACTTCCTCACATTTTACTCCGAGAGGCCCTGGCCAGAGAAGGCCCGAGCCTTCGGAAGGGCGTTCTTGCCCGAGACGTCCTCGAAATTTAGCACCATTCAAGGTTCCTTCAGAGCAATATTACCGCTACTTGCGGATATCGGAACGACCGTTTCGCTGGAGACTTCCGCAGGATTTAGCACTACAAGGGGGTCCTTCAAAACCAAGTTGCTGCTACTTGCGGATGCAGGCACGGACTTTTTGCTCGAGACGTCCTCGCAATTCGACACCACACGGGGGCCTTCAGAGCATTCTTGCTGCTAACGTCGTGATTTTTTTCACAACGTCGACCCCTAGAGGTCTCGACCCCTTCCCGAAGACGGGTTCCTCATCCTGAACCGTTTTCCGACGGTCCCGAGGCCCGGCGAGGGCCCCCAGATGCCGAAAATCGCGAAAAACCTCCCGTCGTGATTTTGTCCCCCGACGCGATGGGGGTCCGGGACGGTCCCGAGGCCCGGCGAGGGCCCCCAAATGCCGAAAATAGCGAAACACCTCCCGTGATTTTTCCACGACGCGATGGGGGTCCGGGTCTTCTGTCTTTGGGTCCCGAGGCCCGGCGAGGGCCCCCGGATGCCGAAAAAATAGCGGAACACCCCCCATCGTGATTTTTTGCCCCGACGCGATGGGGGTTCGGCTCTTCTGTCTCGGGGCGCGTGGCTCGGGGTGCTCTTCGCGCCCACCCCCCCGTGGGCTTCGCCCCCCCGTGGGCTGCGCGCCCCCGCGGGCTCTGCCGCCCCTCCCCCAAGGGCTCGAGGCTTTGGTGCTTCACGCCGGGTGGCCCCCTCCTCCTCCTCCTCCTCCTCCTCCTCCTCCTCCTCCTCCTCCTCCTCCTCCTTCTCCTCCCCCGATGCACGTCTGTTCCCAGCTCTTGGCCCCCCTCGCCTGGGGCTCGAGTCCGGTGTCTCACACACGCTTCTGCAGGTTCCCTTCCACTGGGGCTCGGATTCCTCGTGTTTCGCGCGGGCTCCTGCATATTGCCCCTCTCCTGGGGCTCGAACCCGTTGTGTTTTGGATCCCCACCGCTCCCGGCAGTAGCACTGCTTTTTCATCTGTAGCGCGAGCTGAAAGTGGGAAGGTGCCTCGGGAGAGGCTCAACCTCCTTGGGCGGGAGACTTGGGTGTGGGAATCTCGGCCCCCTTTTCATTCAGTTCCCCCAAGAGGGGTGGCATCATGATGGGTGCATGTGGCATGTTGAACCACGGGGCATGACGGTATGATGCTTGTTGAAGTCGCATTTCTAAAACATGTGGTTGATCCCCCCGCGGTGCACCGCACTGTTTGTTGTTAAAGTGTTCCTCCCAGGGGTCACACCCTGCTTCTTACAAGGGAGACTCTTCCTCATCAAATTGCGCCCCTGGCCCCAGACTTACACAATAACAGCGGCTCCCGCCTGATACTTCCTCACGATGTATTTTCAAACCGCGCTCTCGCGCGGGACTTCGTCACAATTTATGCAGGAACAGCGCTCTCGCGCTGTGCTTTCTTGCAATTGATTCAAAGCGCCGCCGTTGCCCCCAACACTCAAGAATCACGCTCTATCTCGGTGGATTTCCTGACGGTTTACTTAATCGCGCTCGCTCGAAACTTCCTTGTGATTCATGTTGGATTGACGCTTCAACGACCCGCCCGCACGACCCGGCCGTCTGGGCCCGCCCGCCCGAACTGCCCGTTAGGGTCCGCGCGCCTGGCACGCCCGTCTGGTTCTGCTGCTTCTACCCCAGCTCCAAGACCACCTCCTGCAAACGTCTGTCGTGCTCCATCGTTCTCCCTCCCCGATGTCTCTTCGCTCCTCCCTTCCTTCCCCCTTCACTGGGCTGCGCCAACTGCACGTGGCAAGTAAAGAAGTTATGCCCCCAATGGGGTATGACCGAAGACGTGGGAGGCGGTTGTTGGAGATGTGGGACAGACGTGCTGAATGGCATGTGAGCAGATAGAAGCGAACATTTTTGAATGACTGTTGCTGTGGTTGTGCTTGAATTCTCATGTCTAAAGAACAATTATTGTTGATCCCCCCTGCCCGGTGACCGATGTGTTTTTTGATCAAAGTGCTCCTCCCGGGACTCGCACCTTGCTTTGCAAGAATGTGTTGTTGGCCCCGGTTTGCAGCAACAGCGACTCCCGTCTGATACTTCCTCATAATGTATTGAAACATCGCGCCCTCGCGAGGGACTTTGCCACAATGTGTGCAGCAATCGCGCTTTCGCGTGGACTTCCTCGCAATTCATTCAAACGCCGCGCCTTCGACGCTCAGGAACCGCGCTCTCGCATTGGTTTGCCTTGCGATTCACTTGGGAATCGCGCTATCGCTCGAGACCTGGTCGCGATTCATGCAGGACTCACGCTTCAGCAACCAGCCTGCTCGACCTGGCCGCTTGGGCCCGCCTTCCCGACCCGCCCGCTAGGGTCTACTCGCCCGATCAATCCGTTTGGTTCTGCCACAAGTTTTTCGCTCCGAACCCCATCCTGCTAATCCCGTGCTCTATCCTTCTCACTCCCCCTTCCATCCGTCCTATCTTCCCTTGCTTTTAAGGGCTGCGCTAAATGCATGCGGCAGGTACTTAAGATATACACCCAGAGGGGGTACGATCGAAGACGAAGAGGGTGGGTATCGAGGGTTTGGGACTTATTACGAGTTGAATGGCACGCGAGCATGTCAGAGCGAACAGGCCAAAAATGATTGAGCTCTCACTTGGCCAAAAATACGTACTGCTGATCCCCCCGCATTGTGTTTACAAAGTTCCTGACATGAAAGAAAACCTTCGTGCTCAAGCTGTGCCGCGGCCCCCCCCCCGGCTCCCGGCTACAACGACAACGGCTCCCGCCTGATACTTCCTCACAATTTACGCGGGGATCGCGCTCTCGCGTGGGGACTTCCTCGCGCTTGATTCCGGTGCCGCGCCCTCGACACTCGGGGATCGCGCTCTCGCTTTGGCTTCTCTCGCGCGATTTACTTGGGAATCGCGCTGGCGCTCGAGACTTCCTCGCGACTCATGCAAACTCACGCTTCAGCAGCCCGCCTGCTCGACCTGGCCGCCTGGGCCCGCCTTCCCGACCCGCCCGCTAGGGTCTGCCCGCCCGATCTGCCCGTCTGCTCAAACCACGTGTTTTCTTCCCTTAGCCCCCTTCCTGCTAATCTCTCTTGTGCTCCATCCTTCTCCCTCCCCCTTCCATCCGTGTTTTTTGCTCCTGTTCGAAGGGGCTGCGCAACATGCGCGTGGTGGGTAAGGAAGATACACCCCCAAAGGGGTGCGATCGAAAACGGAGAGGGCGGGTCCGAGGGTTTGCGATATACGTGTTGAATGGCACGCGAGCCAATAGGAGCGAACAGTCTTGAAATGATGGTTGTTGTTGTTGTTGTTGTTGTCGTTGTCGTTGTCGTTGTCGTTGTCGTTGTTGGGTCTTAACAGCTACTATTCTTGTCGGACCCCCTAGAAACGCCTGGCTCTCTCGCCTCGGCGGCGGCTGCATTTCCATTGGACGTGAGGCTCGCTCTCAGGCGTTCCAGGGGCGTGCCGAAACCGCCCCCTCAACAGCAACAGCAACAACAACAACACCACCACCACTATCACCAACAACAAAACCAACTCTAACAACAACAACAACAACAACAACAACAACAACACCAACAACAACAACAACAACAACAACAACACCACACCATCACCACCACCACCACACCACCACCACCACCACCACCACCACCACCACCACCACCACCACCACCACCTTCACCTTCACCTTCACCTTCACCTTCACCTTCACCTTCACCTTCACCTTCACCTTCACCTTCACCTTCACCTTCACCTTCACCTTCACCTTCACCTTTCACCTTCACCTTCACCTTCACCTTCACCTTCACCTTCACCTTCACCTTCACCTTCACCTTCACCTTCACCACCTTCACCTTCACCTTCACACCTTCACCTTCACCTTCACCTTCACCACCACCACACCACCACCACCCACCACCACACCACCACCAACACAACCACACACAACAATCATTTAAGACTGGGGACACTCCGTTCTCACCAGTGCCAGGGTTTTCATAGGAGGCGGGCAATACCCCCACTTTGTGGGGGGGCCGGTTCAAGCTCTACCAAATTTCCAAACGACTCTTCGCCACCACCCACACCCAGCTTCCCGCCCTATGACGTTCGGACACTTCACTTCGTGGCATGCGGACGACCGTGGCTACTATTCAGGGCCCCGCGGCCGACGACGACGGCGTGCGCGCGCGAAGAAAAAACGAATGTGTCCCGCATGGTATTATTTGACAGGGATGATGGCCCTGGCAGGTGCGCAACCGTTGTTGCAGAAGTTCGAAAAAGTTGCTCGCAAAAGCCCGTTTGACAGAAATGTTTAAAAAGTGTTGGGTTTCCTACGAATCCGCAAGAGCGCGCGGGATGAGATTTTGACAATTTTTTGTTGAAAAACCATTGGTTTTTTGATGTTTTTATGTTAAAATCGCTGCGAACACTAAGGTTTTGGAAGGATTTCGTCTTGCGCGCGCGAATGTCCACTTTACCTTATTTTTTGCAAGGGATTCTTGAAATTTGATTATATTAGAACAAGAAATGTCATTTTCTATTGTTTTTTGCAAGGGAAAG